GGCTCCTCCCTTTATTCTCTCTGCTTCCTGGAAACCATGAGGTGAACAGCTTTCCTCTGCCATGCCCCTCTGCCATTCTATTCTGCTTTGGAGCCAGCAGACTCCACAGACCTCTACAAACTGTGAGCTAAAATAAACTTTTCCTTCCTTGAATTGTGAGTATCAGGTATTTTGTCCCAGCAATGAGGGAAGTAACTAAGCCACAATGCATTTGACAAACATCTGATGTCCATAAAAGAATATAGATAATCAAAAGTGGAAATAAGTTACACATATATGCTTGGTTTGGACAGAGAAAATACTGGACAGCTATATCTCTTACATCTTACAAACTATATACTTGTAAAATCCCTTAATACTTTAATTTGAAAAAAATAATAAATATTCTGTGACTCTGGTACATCATCATTAACAAATAATCAATTATTAAATAATATTAGGAATGAAGAAAGTGCTGGTGAATTTGGAAACACCATTTAGTAGAAGTGTGCTCTTTCACTTCCATTTGCCTGGGAAATGAAGACAGGGATTGATTCTGAGTGTTAGAGGGCATTAATAGTGTTGGAAGGCAATGTGTCCTTAAAATAACTCAAAACTCTTCAGTTTGATTCTTATGATTTAAAATCATTTTTGATATGGAGAGTCTTTCTTTATTTAACTGGGAACAGTTAAGACAGAGAACATTCCATAGCAAAACTTCTGATTAGTTAATGTTTTAAAATTAAACCACTAGAGAAGCTGAGTTTAGGTTAGAGAAAAGTGCCATCCATGTTTTACCTTCTGTTTGCATTCTCCAATTTTTCAAGAGATAATTTGACATCATTTTTAATAATCTATAATCCCTGCAATTATGACACTTTGTTGTTCAAATTGCAATTTGAAGTTACATATGCAGGGTATCATCTGGCATGAAAACACTCTGAAACTTTTTTCCTCTCAAAAGGAAACATTTATCCTTTAACCTCTTCACCAGTGCCCAACTTTGTTCAACTTGGGTTACACCATAGAAATTGATTATTTCCTCAACAAAGAAACAACAATTAAAATAGGCCAGACTCTCATGTCATTAGAAAGCACTTTAATTTAATTTTATTTTTCTTTAGCAAAATTATTTCCTTTTGAAGAAGAAAAACCTCCAGCTTTGCAGACAAAAATATATGTGTTAGGGAATATCTTACTAAATAAACAAAATCTAATGGGACACTTTTCTGAGGAATAATTTTCTGTTGGTTAAAAGATGAATTTTTTTCACACAAATCTGCATGGTCTATGCATATGTTGTGGTTCAGAGCAGACTTCAAGGTTTCATCTTTTTGTCTTCATCATGCAACTTTAGATCTTCACTCGTGCATAGCGAACCAAGGAGCATATGTGAATTGAATTCCAACTGTTGTTTCTCAAATCAGTCCACCCTATTCAAGCTTTTAAATACTGAAATGGAATCTGGATTGAATTAATAGAGAAGGACCCTAATACTTGGATGGAGAAGCCAAAGTGTTTCCTGTCCAATTTCCAAATTTGAAATTAAGTAGTATAATTTTATTTTTTACTTCTTTTTCATTTAAGTGAAATGATTCCAATCTCAAGTAAAATTTTTTTATATGTTATTCACTTTCTGCAAGTATATTTTGCAATGATCTTTTTTATTTTCAACAATGTTGGCTGAATTTTCCAGAGGAGTCAACTTAATCATTGTCAACGTATAAGAGAATAAAAAAGAGAACATGGGACCTTGAGACTTGATGATAGTAAAATCACCCAGATAATTCATTCAGAGACTGCAAAGATATTCTTGCCATTATTATTGGCAATGGGGCATGTGGTAGCAGGCTATGAGTTGCCAGGATATGTTCAAGGCTTTTTTTATGTGGCAGAAGTCATCTCTTTGTATAGTCCAGACTTTAGCTGACTGAAAGACTCAGAAGTGATAAGCACATACTGTGGTTTTTCAAACTTTTCTAAGAAGTGAGGTGTTTTTTTTTTTTAAAAAGGAAAATTTCTACTAAAGCTCAATGTATAATGCAGACAGAGCAAGGCTACTCTGGCTGAGTTGGGCTCAGCAGTGAGCTTCGTATAAGCCCCAAGGCTTGTCAAAGCCATAATGATAAATCACCATTTTAGCACACCAGTAAATTAGAGCATCAACTCAATTCTTACTAGTTGATAGAAGTTAGACAATTTACAGCCTGTGTGTGTGTGTGCACAATTTTTTACCTCTCAGAGTTTTTGTGAAGGTAAGTGATAAGTCACATAAAGTACTGAGCCCAGCGTGTTACCTAGAGGTAAAGATTTAATAAATTACATTCCTGTTCTTACTATCATCATTGTTCTAATCATCAACACTACTATTTACTGAGCCCTAACCATGTTTTGGAATTGTTCTAAAGGGCTTTATATGCCATACTTCTGTAAATTTATAGATCACAACCCTTAGGGACTTTAAATAGTTTACCTAATACAGATAATAGCTAGTGGTTTTGGATTTAAGCCCCAAAACTTCGATTTGTCACTAGAGCTCAGCTGGTTCCTTATTAATAATAAGTTGCAGGGCTTGGTGTATACATTTGTAGGTCAGTCTCTCTATCTCTTAGCTCTTCCTCACTGTACTAGTCATTGATTGTCTAAAGAAACAGAACCAATTGGAGATAAGAGATTTACCATCTAAGCCAGGAAGGCAGTCTGGGTTCAATGGCTTGAGACTTAGAAGTAGTATCTGGGGGTAGCATTGATAGTCAATTGATCATGGATTGAAGAGAATGAAGGTTCTGTGTAGGATTTATAGACTTTCTACGTCTTCATTCCCCTTTGTGCTTTTTGTTCGAGAATTAGATGAATAAACCAGAAAATATCATTGAATGTTTAGAGATCATTAGGAGTTCCATATAGTAGCCTTCATTCCAAAGGAATGAGTTTCCTTTTCCTTCTCCATTACATCTGAAATCATGTGCCTGATTGTCAAATCCACCTATAAATAAGCACCCTTTTAAAATCCAAGCATAGCTCCTAGTATGACCCAACACAATGCTTTTTCTATAATCAAACTGTACTCTTCACTGGCTCCTGAGACTGGATTCATTCTTGTGTCACTCCTTCATCTGAAATCTGCTCACATGCTTTGTGTTTAAGGTACCCTGCTCACAGAGTATTTTTCAAAAGGAGTGATAAGCATAGCTGGAATTTACTGAGTTCTCGGTCTGGCATTCAATGGCAATAGCCATCTCACATTGAGCTCTTATTATGTGCTGGTCACTAGATTAAATACTGTCTCTAACTTGCTTCATTTATTCTGCCCAACAATCTTGTGCTGTTTTTCTTATCCATACTTTATAGAAGGAGAAGCCAGGATAAACAGAGCAAGTGACTAAGGGCACATATAGAAAAAGGGGAGTCTATACCTTCATCCTGATGGTCCCTTAAACATAAGGATAGAGCATGGTACACAGCATGGTAACATAAGGATAGAGCATGGAACTCCAGGAACTTGAAGTTTACTGGAGAAACTATGACACAGATGATGGTAGTAGCATAAAGTAGTGGGTTAAATGTTTCTTGACAAAGGTGAAAAGTGACATAAGAGTTCCAAACAATCGGTCCTTCCAGACAGAGATCATTAAAGAGAGCCTGTGGGTCTGGTCCAGGACTTTTACTGGAGAGGTGCAATCTCCCTCTATCTGCAGTGAATTCATTCCAGGACCCCAAATCCATGTATGGTCAGATCCCTCATGTGAAATTTTGTAGTATTGGCATGTAGCCTACAAACATTCTCTCACATGCTTTAAATTATCTCTAGATTACTTGTAAATATAAAGAATGTAAATGTTATATAAATACTTGTGATGCTGTATTGTTTAGGGGATGATGATAAAGAAGTGTGTGGTTGGTTGAATCTAAGGATGTAGAACCTGTAGATAAAGAGGGCAGAACTGACTTCACATGGGTTAGTTAGCAAAGAAAGGGAACAGGATCACATGAGGTGGTTTAGAGGAAGAGCATTTAAGAATCACATGAAGGCAGAGTCAGATATGAGACTCTAAAACAGATGGCAGCCAAGTTAGGGAGGGCCCAGCGCCAGGTAGTTCTCTTCATTAAGCAGATGGTATGGAGAAGAAGCAGGTAAAAACCTCACACAAGTTCAAAGACTCATAGAAAATGGAGGTAAAAAAGTCAGATCAAGGTAGAGTTTAAGAAGTTTAGAAAGGGAAGTGATTTGGTGAGTACCATGCAATATGTCAGAAGCCAGTTTGGAACGGGAAGTTCAGCCATGATGTAGGAGTCAAGAGAGGGATGTGGCAAAGAGAAAAGAGTCAGTGGGAAACAAAGAGGGTTACATAATGATTCCAGGCAGGGAGAAGGCATTTTAAGGGAAGATCGCTCTGGAGAATATGATCCTGTGATTTCTCTCTAACATTCTGGGATATCCTAACAGTACTTGCTGGGTCCTTACCTTAGGTCAAGGAAATATGTCCCATGTGCTGCCTGAGGGAGACCAGCTTGAGGGAGACCAGTTTTGCGGATGCCAGTGTAGTTCACAGAGAAGGAATCTAGAGGAATTAGGAGCCTATGTTGTGGTGTCACCAGGTAGCCGACACTCTCGTGGAACTTCCGGAAACCACCTTGCCAGCAAATTAAGCAGTGACCTGGTGGCTGATTCTGAGGTATCAGGGTCAAGGATCAGAGGTGACAAGGCAGTCTGGTGGCTCAGACTGTGTTGCCCAGGTTCTAACACTGATCTGGGATTTGGGAGGGAGATGGAGATTGGGGGAATAGATGCCTACAAGGTGAATGGTTATATTGAAAAGGTTATCATGTCTTCTCTGGGGAGAGAAAAATATAGAATTAAGGATGGAATGGGGCTTTCCACATCCCAAGGGGTTTCAGTCAATGAAGGAAACAGTGGGATAGCCCCAAGGGAAGTAGAGCCTCCCTGGAGTCATTTCCAAAAATAAAGGAGAATGAAGAATGAAAACAGTCTATGAGATTTGTTCTGTTAGGAGTCAGTTTCGAAAGGAATTATGTCAGGCTCCTTGCTAGGAAAAGACCTCTTCCTGCCCATCCTCTCATACAAATTATAAACTTCCCTCAAGGCATTACTTTTCCACTGCACTTTCTGACTATTCTGCTCTTCATCTATTTCCCATTCTTCAGAGACTCAGTATCTTTGGATTTTATATACACTACCCTACAACTTCACAGGGGTAGGAGCCTTGTGGCTTCCACGTGATGGGAGTAACTCAGCAGCTTTCACTCATCTCCAGAGGGATTGTAGCTACAGCCTCCTTCCTACCTGGGATCTCTGGCTCCCTGTGGGTCTTAATGGTGTTTTCTCCCCAAGGAGCAAGTGCAATTTTAAAAGGCAAATTAGATCATGTGATATCCCTGCTTAAAACCTACAATGGCTTTCCTTCACACTGGAAAAAGAATCTAAGCTACCAGACTCTTGGCTATGGCCTAGAATGGGCCACCTCATCTCTCAGATTTTCACTCTCTCTACCCCATAACCCACTGTACTCAGCAGCACGGCTCCCTTCTCTTGTCTCCAGGCCTGTAAACCTTCCATTTCTTCTGCTTCTTATGCTTTTCCCACAGAATTCCCCATGGCTCTCTCTTCCTCACCACTCAGGGTTTTCTCAAAGGGCTTTCCTTTACTTCTCCAAGCACCCTAATATAGCCCGTGTCACCCTCTGTGATATCATCACATTGGCTTCTCCACAGCACTGTCAGTATTGAAATTATCTTATTGTTATTTTTCTCTCATTGCTCATCCAAATCTCAATGAATACACATTCTTCTGTCATGCCCTGAGCTGCCTACAGTAGAGGCAGAATCCCTGGAACACAATAGCTGCTTCATCAGCACTTTCATGGGCCAATTGATTCGGCTTTGGACAGTCTGGTACCCTAAAGCCTGTATCCTGTTTTCCCTCATCATTTCCCCAGGCAGGACCTCCGGACACCTTGTCTGAATCTGACACCCCACTCTGTTCTCTTTCATAAAACCTGGTCATTGTCTTCAAAGCACTTTCCCAGATTTTGATGATAAATGCATGTTATGTGTTTATATTCTGTCTTCATTGCTTCTCGGCCTTTTGTCTAAGATCAAGTGTATATTCTGTCTTCCCATCAAACCCTAGCAACACAGAGCCTGTATACCAATGTACATTCTATGTCAGGTACATACTAGATGATTAATTATTCTATAGTGACTGAATATTAAAATATTCTGAATTCCTCCAACTTTAATCATAGAGTAGAGTATGAAAAACATGGCTGATGAATGATTGGTAGACATTTCGAGGGGAAGATCTAGATTTCCTTGCTACAACTATTCTGGACTCTTCCATTTTGCACAAAGGCCATCAAATGAGCTCTGATCTAGAGGAGGACATTTATATCCTTTTCTCCAGCAGAACAATGTGAGGTACAGGCTGGACCTGACTCTGCCCAAGCTGGTGGTAGGGGAGACATCTTGGCGCTGGTCTCTAAGTCCGGTGCAGCAAGGACAGCCATATGTATCATGCCTGAGCAGGGAATCTGCTGGCCCCCACTGGGAGGAAAGGCAGGTTCAGGGGCGATGGTGGGCTGGGTGCCAGCATCTGAAGTCTGGCCATGGTTTTCTTCTGGCCAGTTGTATTGTTGCAGACTTGTACAGTGTTCACATGTCTCACCTGTGGGAAGCTCCAGCTGCTGAAAGGGAAACAAGGACAAAAAGAATGGATGACACATCACATTTACACCCGACAGATAACTCACACTTGGGAGAAAAGCATTCACTGAGATGTGAATTCTCTAGAATGGGATCTTTCCAGCAGATTATGGTAATGACTTAATTTATATTGACTCAGAACTCAAGCCTCACCAAGCCTGTGCTTTTTGTTCCCATTTGGAAAATGGGCAACAACACTTGTTTCTTATTTATGGGCCAGGGTGAAGCTTGGCTTAGCAGGTAGGCGAACAGAATTCCAGTCCTGACTTGCCACCAGCTACTACATGTCCTTATATCTAAAATATAGGCATGGGGGCAGAATCCTGGAGTTTGACATGACTACACAGTTCGTCTTCTCCCTGGATGCCCCCTCCCATGGTTGGCTGGAGAAAGTCCCACTCTGCACCTGTGCCGTACCAAGAGAATCCCTTCTCTGAGTTGCTGAGCCCGGTGTCCTAATTGAAACTCCAGCTCTGCCACCTGCTGCCTCAGGGCCTCACGTAAAGTTTGAAGTGGCTCAGCCTCCTCCCTGCAGGTAAATAATAGAAAGCAACCAAATTGAACAGTCACTCCAGGTTTTCATTTGTACCGCTCCCATAATGTAGGTCCTGCTTTGGGGATTTCTTAAAAGGGCATGTTACCTTCTTTATTTGATTCAGTTGAAGACATAGACATATTACTAGGTCATGTTGCCTTCTTTTCTGCAGTGCTGAGGATGGCGCCTAGGGCTTGTGCTTGCTAGGTGAGTACCCTACCACTGAGCTACACCCTCAACATGTCCATCTCCCCAGTAGGAATCTTCCTGCTCTTTTACAATGAAACAATATTCCCACCCTGTAGCCACCCCCAGCAGTGAGGATGCATCCATTCTGGGGATTTATAAAAAAATATATTGAAAATAATGCAGATTTGCTAAATTTTAATAACCTTCAACCTTTGCACTTGCAGGAGTTGCATTTTCATTGATTAAAGACATCCCACTGGCATCCTCCCTCTTCCCAGCTGATTGTCCCTCTCTTGACCTTCTCAAATAGCCCTGGCCTTAAAGAATAAGTGTTCCCATCTAGTGAATGGCTCTCACAGGCTCCCACTGAGAAAGCAAAAGTAAAATCATGAAAGCAAAGAAAACACTGGCCAATTTCTCATTAGCTCTGCTCTGGGGTGCTCATTGGTCCTGTCCTGCCCTGATTATCTTCCCTTGCTCCAGGTGTCTTGGCTTGCATTTACTTTTATGACATCCTTAGATAATTACCTTTCCTCCTCTGACATGTCCCTGCAAAAGAGTGTTTGCTGCCCCAGAAGGTGCTGTTCAATTTCCTCTAAATGCTCCCGGAAACTCTGGCATATCATCTTCATGGCTTCCAAGTCATGGACGGTGCACTGAGAACAATTAGAAAGAACTGAAAAGGGGTCCTTTCTGATTCACTGGAACAGCTCTCTATGATGGAGTCTATCTTCCTATTCAGGGGACACATTGGCTTCTTAGAGGCAGTACTTAGCTGAGATAGGGCAGCAGTGATTGGGTGGTGCTTGGACGACAATCATTGTCTCTTGGAAAGCATAAAGCCATTTAAAAGATTAGGCAATATAAGAATTCAAGGATGTGAACAAAAGAAAGCAAGGGGGAGGGCCAGAGAGAGGGCCTGTGCTTAGAACAGTTGAGTCTTGTTTAACTTTGGTGCTGAGTACCAAGAACATTGAACACATCGGTTCACATAGTACGTACTTGATTAAAGAAAATCTGCTTAGAATAATTTATACGAGTCTTAGCCCTGCTCAGCCATTACTCAGTCCCTGGAGATTGAAATCTGCAGGATCAGCTCCACCAAACTAATAAGCCCACTAAGAGCAAGGCAGGCCTATTTAGGAATCCTATCCTCTTCAGGAGTCAGAATCTAGAATTGAGCTCCTTCTACCCTCTTAGTCCTGCTCCCCATGGCACCTGATGTGTTATCCTTTAAATCTTAAATCTCTGTAGGACCATGCTTTTGCCTGGGTTTCCAAACTTAAACATATTCCCACAGCTTCTGAGAACTGTGGAATTGAATTCTCTGTCCATAACAACTCCAAGCTGCACTGAGATACTTGGCTGAACTTCATCATGGCTTCTGGTAGCACAAAGCAATGCCCCTCACATGACATGCTTCCTTTCCCCTGTCCCCAGTTAAAATGCCCATCTGATAAAGCTCTAGACTACCAGGAAAATTAACTGTTTGCTTTAATCAGCACCTGCCTCTCTTTCTTATAGCATTTATTGAAGAAGCCTTAAAATTTTAAACATGCATCTCTTAGAACTTAGAAGTATCTTTCTCAGAGACCCGAAAGTCATTCCTTTGAAATGTGCTCATCTGGAAGGTGAGGGACTATCTCTCAGTCTCTGTAAGAGGATAGAATTCCAGCTTCAATACCCATCAGCTCACAAACCCAGCTGGTCCAACTGCATTTACACTGACTGACCTTTCTGTGATTTTTCACTTCTCTGATGGTACAGAGCCCCTGCTCAGTTCCTTCCCTCATTCTTTTTTTTTAAAATGCTCAGGTCACCTCTGCACAAATTGGAATGGGGTTCAGCTCATTCTACTACCAGTAGTTACCGAATAAAATCTGTTTTCCCTGCTTGAACTATCTTTGACATATCTAAGCCTAGTCCATTTGTGGGGCACTTTGATGATTTACTGAGGCTTTACAGGCTCTCCCCCTGTTTTGTAGCCTAGGTTTGGTCATGCTTTAAATAGGCTCAAGACCCAGAAACTCAGGGTCACTTGCCTACTTATTTGAGTGATAGGAATGCTTACTGCACCCCAAAACAAACTCTACCAGCCCTGCTCCCAGATCAGTGTGGCAGAAGCTTCTGGTTGCCTATTCACTATTTTTTCCCATTTTCCTCTTATTAACATAATTCTAGACCTAATAGTGGCAGCAATGTGTCTAGCTAAAAAACTGTATTTCCCAGCTTCCATTGTAGATAGGATAGCCAAAAGAATGGAAGCAGAGAGCCTGGTATAGAGCTTTGGAGAAGCCCTTTAAAGGCTGGCAGACCCACTTAACATTCTTCCACGGAGATCTACCTTACTGTTAGGCTAATTCCTCCAGCCCTGTTTATAGGAAGTCCCAGATTTCTTACCTTCCTCCCAGAACTACATAGCAAGATCCTGGAAGCCTGATGACTATTTTTAGTAGAATTTTCATCATGTAAATACTTTCCTGAGAGTGATACTTAAATATTAAAACTCTCCATCATTTTTCTTCGAGAGTTGTTTTTTGTTTGGCAGTATCAGGGATCCAACTCAGGACCTTGCACTTGCCAGGCATGGCACCACTGAGCCACATCTCTGGCCTGAGAGTTGTTTTGATTTTATCCTCTAATAATGTATTTTACATTGTAAAATTGTCCAATTACTTTTAGCCTCAGTGTGAGTTAATCTGAATCAGCTAAAGGAGTCTGAACCATTATTAATGTTAGCAAAAGTACTTGAAAGATAACTAGAAAAGATCTTGGAGACCAGGAGGGCTTCTTTCATAAATAAGTGTTCTATTACAGAGTCATTAACTGCATGGTCTGTAGTCATAACTGGCAGTCATATTCAACTCAAGTCTGCGGTTCATGTCTTTTCCTTTCAATATCTGAGTCATGGCAGACACTACAAGGAACTGGATACATAGAGAAGTTATTTGTCCCTTAGGAGGGAGTAGATTAAGTTGTTCAAGTTGATTCCAAGACTAGCCAGCTGGTTCAGATTTACTTCAAACTCCCAGTGACAGTGAGGCCAGGCCCATGGAAAGATGGTGCTCAAGCAGGCTGAACAGCATAAGATTTGGGATTTATGTTCCATCTAGACCTTCCTTGGTATCTCTTTGTGATTGAGGGTATATTGTGGGGGCTAGGGGTTAGAATTGGAAGTAACTGATGGGGTAGCCATGCTCTCAAAGGCAAGTGATGCAGAAGATTCTGGAATGATGCCATCTTCTGGTCATTTGGAAACACTAAAAAATACATTTTAGCCCTGAAACAGATAAAGAAGGTTTCATAATAAAGCAAACCTTACGTAAGGAGAGAGTGAGGGGAAGAATGTGTTTTGAACTCTTTTTTCCCCCCAATACAAGGGGTGAGTTAAATTCAAATACAGTGCAAAGTCTGTTCTACTACTGATCCAGATCCATTAAAATAAACTTCAGCAACAACTTCAAACTTCAGCATTGAGATGCAGTACAAAAAGACATTGAACTTTCACTTGCAAGTTGGATTATATTACTTTTTAAAATTTACATACTTCCCTTCATCTATAAATGCAAATTAACATTATAGAAGAATTTTCTAATATTCAGAAATCTGATTTCTGATGTTTCTCATTTTTTTCTGGAAATATTTTTGCTTTTGAATTACCTCTTTTTGAATTAATAAATTATTCCAAAGAATTCACATATACATAATTTCAATTATATCAACAAATCAATTCTTGAATTAACAAATTATCATGAAGAATTATCATGAAGAATTCACTTACATGTAAGAACCTAATCATACCAAGAAACTATTATCTTAGATATTCCTCAAAACCACAAAAATAGTCATGCGTTTCTCTGCAGTGCTGTCAGTGGGCAAGCAGGTGAGGTGGAGAAGTTTTTCTTAGTCAAGTCCTTTATCTAAAATTGTTTAATTTTAATTAGCTCTGCTTGGAATTCCTGTTGTCATTTATAAGACTATATATATATATATATATATATATATATATATATGTATATATATATATAGTGTGTGTGTGTATATATGTCAGCCTATAGTCTAAGATCTATTTCCTACTTTGTTTTTCATAAAACCCTAGCTAACACATAGCATTTAACTTAAAGCCATTTTTTCCAGAATATTTTTCATACTTTATAATCCCAGGGTCACTCACAGTAGATGTTGCTACACGTACTGCTTTTTTTCTCTGTTCTTTAAATACCCTCTGCCTATGGAGGAACAAAATCCCTTATTTTCCTTTGTTTTTCTGTGTGCGTGTGTGCGTGTGTGTGTGTGTGTGTGTCTGTCTGTGTGCATGCGTACATGCTCCTGTTCCTGTGTGTATGCCTGTGGACAAGGAAAAATATGCCTGTGTATATACGTGTGTTTTGATTGTTTCTTTTGAATATATGTTTCTAGTTCCTTTGGTCTAAATAAAGAGAAAAACAGTATCATCTAGTAAAAGTCCATATAGTGCCCATTTCAGCAAGGGTATAATGCCAAACTAACTGGATATAAAATTATATCTTTTTGTATAATTGCAAATTCTTAGAGGAGAGAAGGCTGAAGAACTAGAAGACATGATATCAGCGGGCAATGGGATGGTGACATTTATAATTATGAAAGCACCTACATATTTAAAACCCACAAACAAGACTGAGGATGGGTGCTGTGCAAAATGGGCCACAAACCTCTCTTTTTTCTGCAGAAGTGCTGATATGTCATAATGTCAAATCAAGAGGAATATCTATTTCTGGAAGTCAAATCCTTCCACACATCTGGGAATATGCAGCCCTATAATCTTTCTTGAAGGCCTCTCTTCTCTTTCCATGAAATAGGAGGAAGGAGAAGACCCTGATCTAAACTGAGGGTCACCCCCTGGAGCTGGCCCATGTTTAGTCTTCTGCTTTTATTCTAAACAAGGTCCTTACCTTGTACCTGGCTCTGGGTTGCTGTGCCCGAGTTTCCCCACGGATGTCTCTTACTCTTCCCATTCTGCTTGCCTTAGAGGCTGCAATCCTCCTACCTATTCATCTGCTCCCAGACGCCTATTTGCTTGTTCATCCCTCAGAAACATGGTCCTGTCAAGAACACCCCCAGTACCTCATATAACCCCTAGCCTTTCGTAGTAATGGTCTGGCTAGGCTGTACTAACTGAATAGCAATCCTCCATAGCATCCGCCATGTTTTGCCCAATGGAGTGGATATCTTTCTGGCACCTATAGTCTGTGCACTGGTCATTCTAGAACCTGGAGCTCCCTTTGCCTGCATTGACTTCTGTCAGGCACCCAGCACATCAAATGACATGTTGAAGTAGAACATGTTTTCACTTTGTGCCACAGAAGGCTGTTATCCTTTTTTCTTTCCTTCTTTTTTTCTTTAGAAAACTGTAGGTTCTTTCTTTTTATTTTATCTTGTGGTCATATCACTGAATGAACGATAGTCTAATTGAGTATTAATATACATCTGTTGCCATAGATACCTGGTTATAATATAAAATTATAAATTAAGTGATAGTGATTACCAAAGACAATTTGATGCAATAGACTGTAGCTTCCCAGCCTGTTACACTTGTTTGTTATTTCTCTTCTTAACCCAATACAAGAATTATATTGTCTTAAGGAAGGATGATGGGAACAGAGAGCAGAGACTATCTTCATATGGAATAAAAATAGCTGCAGAATTTACTCTAAAAGAATGACATTGCATACGTCTAGAAGAACCATTTTTTTCTGGAGTTTTTAATAAAGTTTTGATTATACATTTTTAATATTTTAAAATAAATATCATTTAATTCTTATGTCTTTGTAAAGCTTATCTTAAATTATAAATTAGAAAAATAATCTCTTTTTGAAATATATATTCCTATGTCAGACCAAAAACCTGGTTTTCATTATGGAAACAGAAGTACTTAATTTTTAAGATTTAATTTTTTTTCCTGTTTAGGCTTTCAAAATACCACCTTCTCTAGTTATCTTTCATTTCTAACATTTTCCTATGCAAAATAAGTGAGTCAGGTAAATGCTTATTCCCTTAGAGCTGAGTTTTTCAGCCTTGACACTATTAACATTTTGGACCAAATAGTTCTTTGTTGAGGGGCTATGCTGTGCACTGTACGATATTTAGCAACATTCCTGACCTCTACTCACTTGTTGCCAGTAGCACCCACCCCCTTCCAGTTGTAGCAACTGAAAATGTCTCCAAACACTGCCAAATGTCACCAGCGGGGGAGAGTGGTCTGCCTCCATGATGATGGTGATGGAGAGAGTGACCCTTCTGCAAGTCTTGAAGCTGAGTCTTTCCATACTCCAGAAGGACTCCACCTACACATTCGTCTGTGTTCTTTCCTTTAATGAACCTTTGAATAATATACCTAGAATAATACACCTAGAACTGATCTATCTCAAATGGAGCTTTCTCTTACTATTACAAACATCATTCATGGCTCACTTAGAAATATTCCAACTGGCTAGTAGTCTTGCAATTTGAAAAAATGATATTAATTGACTAGGTGTTACAGAGTATAAAATATACTGGATATCAATTATTTTACCTTCAATGTAATCACTTTGTTAATATAGATTTCTATATGTTGAAGGATCATGTAGTGATTTACTTTATCTTTCAAACAATAATTTTCTAATGCTAGTATTCTAGTATTATTTTTATGTAAATTTAGGCATTTTAAATTGGACACATCTTTGCCCAGAGTGGTGTGTCTATGAATTTGGTGTTTCTCAAATTTGAATTTGAATTAGGACCTAATAGTTGAGAGGTGCTGGGAAAATTATCTAAACTCTCTCAGTACTAGTTTTCTCATCTACTAAAAAGGAGGAACTGGCACATATTAGGAACCCAATGAATGTTTACAGCATGCATGAGTTTGAAGGTTAAATAGCAAAATATACTACACTTGATCTTAGCCAAAAGACCGAGAAGCGATTAAATAGCAAAATATAAAGATGTTTAGCATAAGCATTCAATGTATACTTGTGAAGTTAAAGAACAGGAAGCTGACCCAACATGAACTAAATTCAGTAAATCACAATTCCTCTTTACTGTCTTCGAACAGGTGGAATCTACACTATCTGTGCCCAACCCCCTTTAACTCTCTTATACAAGTAGTTTCAGGTGTGATAGTCTCAAATTTTAACCAGTGGCTAGACTTGAAAGCCTAGATTATTTCTCACCTTGAGAACTGCTGAAGAGAGGTGCTGGAGGGACTCATTAAATACTTGTTGACTAATCAAGGGGTAAAGAAGGCTGAGGACATTCAGTTCTCTGTAACTCTTAATGTTTACTTTAAACAAGTTTGGCAAAGGTACACCAGAAGTCCCTCTATTTGACATGAGAAGCTCTAGATTCAAAACCTCAGCAATGATAAAACAGCAATAAAAAATGACAGTAAGAATACCATTCAGCTAATTAATATCATGTAAAGCTTTCTCTGTGCCAGACAGTAGGCAAAGTACTGTATCTGAGTGCTCTGGGTGCTTTACAAATTTTATTTTATTTAATCTCAAGGCAGTCCTGTGTCTGTCATGGATCATGTCCTATTTTATAGGACCAGTCCAGAGAGATTAAATGCTCCATGCAAGATTATGCAGTTAAATGAATTTATGACCTAGAACTTTTCAGCTGGACTAAATAGGAGATTAGACAGATGCATTCATACTTAAAACGTCAGACATATGAATCTTAGTTTTCATGCCTTAGTTTTACCTTCTGTAAAATGAGGGTTAATAATAAAATTTATTTTCCTTACTTCAAAAGTTGATTGGTAAGAAGAAACTTAGGAGGCTATATCACAAACAAAGTATTCTACAAATGTTTATCATGATTTAAAATGGAAGGTATTTTATGCTCTGAGATCTCACATTCAGAGGGGAGAGCCGAGCATTATCCTCAAGGTGAATGGTGGTGTCACTGGTGTATCTACAGTCCTGTCTTTGCAGAGGAAGAAAACACTTACAGAACACAGCTCCCTCACGAATGTGTCCTGAAGGACTCTCAAGGTCTTTGTGAACTTGGCTTCCAGATGTTTTGCATGTGGACACAGCCAATGTCTGCCCACACAGGGTGCAGGGCTGGTGCATGGCCTCTCCTCATGGCTGTGGAAATGGTGATGACAGCAGATACAGCAGTGGGTGGGTGTGGTGGGGCGAGTGCCCATTGGGTCAACACTAGGGAAACTTGTGTCCAGAGAGACTGATTTGGTGAGCAGCTTGGGTCTGTGAGTGAAGGCTTCATTACCTGGAGATATACAGCAATGGCAGGGTTCACATTCATATGTGTAAGTCTGAACAGAAACATCACTGACCTGTTTTGTTTCTGTCTCCTGTCTCAGTTCTGTTACAGTCATAGGGTCACACAGAGTACCTTCTATATCTGTTCTTCTATAATCCATGCCCAAGGCCACAGCACTTTGAGCAGCTGACATCAGTTTGGAGGACATCTGGGTTGTCACAGACCTGGAGCAGCCAGCACTTGAGTCCCTGGGAGCATCTCCAGGCAGTTTATTGAGGTCAGAAGTGGACTTGTCAGGTGTTTGAACAAGGTCAACTCTATAAGGTGTGACTTCTCTGTGCCTGAGAATATGCTGTGGTGGTCTCTCTTCTGACAGTAATATGTTACTGGTGTCAGGACAGAGTTTGTGGCTCTCCTCTGCTCCTGGGTCATCACAGTCCTCTCGAGGGGACCTGTCTTGACTCTGATCAATTCCAGATGGCCTTTGAGACTCACAGGGGTGCTTTTGCATGAGGACTTCCCTAGTCCCCTCAGGCCTCAGAGACCTTTCCTCCTCTTCTGTGGTGTGGGTCACCATAAACCCCAGAGGGCCATCAAATTTGGAAATGACTATGGCTCCAACACCCTCATATTCAGCATCAGGTGTTCGTGAGGGCTGCTGCAGGTGGCTGTCTTCCCATGGGTGTTCTCCCCAAGTGGTGGCCTTGGCAAGGGCCATATCAGGAATCAACAGCTCTGGTGGCCCCTGTGTGGCCTCAAGCTGAGACTCTTCCTTCACCACAGATGCTGAGGCCTTTTCTTCCAAAACACTCCAGTCTTGGCTTGAAAAGGATGAGCTCGCCATCCTCTTGGAATCAGACCCTTTACACTCTTGCTGACAGTCCTGGGATGACAGTGAGCTGTGGCTCTGATCCCATGGCTTTTTATCTCCATTCTCAGTATGACTCTCGCTGCTTGTCAAGGAAAGCAACTGTAGGAGAAACCAGAACACAAGGACATGAGTCAGGAAGTGGGGGTGGCAGTAAGTATAAGGCAATAAATATCATCATTGATTCAGTAGTCAAGAGATAAAGGTCACAAACTCACTTTCTGAATCAGTTTACTACTTCACCTGTACCTCTTCTCTATTAGTCTGACTTTCCTTGTTTAGAAAAATCAAAAGAAAATTAAAGGGAAAGGAAGGCTATACATTCTGGCACCTTGTCTTCTGTGATTCCATCATCACCTGCCCCATTGGGTGCACATTGCGTGTGTCTTTAAATCTTTTCTATTGTGGCTTATCCTTCCTTCTGAGTTGGGAGGGGGATTAATAGGGTTGAAGTGGAATGTGTTTGGTGAGCAATCAGGGCCTTGTTACAACCCCTTCTACCTGGAGGGGCAGGGGTTCCATTGGCTCCTCCAAAAACCCACTGCTGTCAGACTGACAACTGTTGGCTCTGTCCATCCTGGTGCCTGTGGGAAAAGAGAGAGCTGAGATTAGTAAGGTGCAAACATGCTACCAATAGTCAGGGGTCAGACCCGCTATATGCCTGGCATATCAGAGATCTTCCATAAATGCCAAGTACAAACGAATGAAGAAACTGAAGGAATTCCAAGACTTTTTTCCCTCAGTTAGAGAGCTCCTGGAAAATTGCTTTCTGATACAAAGAGTAAACATGCACTGAAAAAAGAGGAACTAACTTCTCTTAAAACTAAATAACCTTATAATTTTGAGTTGAATCTTTACTAAGAGGAAAAAAATCCAGAAGGAGACCATATCCCTTAATAAAACAATAATAGACCAAAATGTATGTATTTATGCATATATGTACATATTCACTTTCCTTTTTGCATAAGAATCCCTTGCTACCTTAGCTGGACTGTAGTATATGACAAGTCCACACTCATGGTTAGACTACAGCTGTTGTCACCATGAGAAGCTGGGAGGGCAGGGAAAAACAATGTTAAGTGTGGGATGGTAGTGACTTCACAAACATGCATACTTGGGATTCTAAATCTACTTGTAGCTTCTTATGTAAATATTATGTAATATTATGTGGAGTGGGGGAAGGTGGCTGCTAGAAGGTCACTGTGCTAAAAATTAAATCATGGAACCACCTCCTTCTAAAAAATGCTTTTAGCTGCACCAGGCCTAGGCTAGAATAGGAAATCTCTTGGGAGGAGGTGGTTGGTTTCCTTAGAATACACACAGCAGAGGGAAGATCTTCATTCATCCTGGGGAAAAAGACCCAGCATGCGAGGAAAAAGCCTATTGTTGGTGGATGTAATGCTCAAGGATTTAAATGAGAAATAGGGGATTTGTTTTTGTTTGGACAACTAGCTGCTAAAGAAGAGTTCAAAGGAAGAAAAAGAGCTCAGCTACTGCTTAGATATTCTAGACCCAGCCTTGGACAATTGCTCCATTGGCAGCAGCACCTAGTCTGCTAGGGCAGTCTTAATTTTCTAAAATTAAGACATGTGAACCTCATATTCTTTAATTCAGTCTCAAAAAATTTAAAAGTTAGAAATCGAAGGACATTGTGAGATTTTAATATCTGAATCTAGGAGAGATTGTGGAACACAGAGCAAGCCTTAAATAACAATGTCCTTGACATAGCTATTGTTTCTTGCTATACTGATAAGAATTAAATACAGAAAATATTTACCAATTATGAACCTAAATAAGACTTCTGCTTTTGACAAACTGGAGTAATGAGGACTAGATTTTCCTTCTACCTGAAACAACTTAATCTTGGAAAATGTATGTGGTTTAAAAGACAATGGTTATCAAGACAATGGAAATTTTGCTGTTCAAAACAGCAATCCTGAGAGACACAGTGATGTCCAGCTTTGATTATTCAGCTGCTCACCTGGGGCTGAGCATGGTACTTCTACTCCATAGTATAGGAGTAGGAGAGCCTGGAAGACTGAGCCAGCTTGAGTTCACAGGAGTAGGAGAAAGTCACATGGAGAGAGTGCTCTCAAGATACCTCTTGGGTCTTCTGTGTTGGGGACTAGGCTATGTAACTCAGAAGATCTCACAGTCTTGAGGGTGTTGTCTTGCCTCCTGAACAGAGAAGTATGTGGAAGGCTGCATGTCCTCTGGCTATGGGTGGAATGCTGACGCACTCCTGAGGCAAGATAGCATCTGCTGAGAACACTTTTCAATATACAAGCATTTGGGTGTAGGAAAATCTGGTTCCTCATTAATTTAATCCTTATCCACCCATTCTCTATAGTTACTATTCCACAGAACGAGTGTTACTCCTCCCCCTGTACTTTTTGCTGCCTAATAAAAGTGGGCCAACCACAGAGATTTATTCGAGTCTGTCCACTGGAGGCAGATCTCCTTCTGGTCCTCCTTTATATCTTGAAAATTGTCTCTGTCTCTTTCTTTTTATTCCTTGTTGTTCCCCCCAAAAGGTAGCTGAGGGTCTGATCAGCTCTCAGTACTTCTGAGTATTGATCAGGTCATACATGTAAGAAAACACCGAAGTATGGAGAAAGAATCACCTGAAAGGATTGAAGGGAACTGTCCAACGCTCATCCTAGGCCTGGGGCAGGGCATACTCTTACTATCCAGACTAGAAAATCTCGCAGTTCACATGGTATGGGCTGGGGTTGGGAGGTAGAGTACTCAGATGTGTCTTGACTCAGAAGTGAGGAATAATTAGCCCTATGATAAACGTTGCTCTGGTCCCACCTGACTTGGCTTCACTGCAAAACCTAAAAGGATTATTTCCAAGTAACTCAACTGTGTTCCAGATCTGAGCTCAAGAATATTCATAAGGATGTACTAATATTTAACATCTAAGAGATAAAATCCACACTATTTGGCATCTAATAAATGATATCAGGCATGTAAAGAGGTGAGAAATGTGACCCATAATAGGGAGAGAAACCGATAGACTGAAACTAATTTAGAACAGACACAGATGTTAGAATGATCAAAGACATTAAATGTTTATTCCACATGTTTAGAAGCTAGAGAAAAGATGAAACCTCCTGTCTGAAGTAAACTTGTAGGGATGAAAACTATAATGTCTCTGTTCAAATGTATAATGGATGAGATTAACAGGAGAGTGGAGATTACACAAGAAGAGATTAATGAAATGAAGACATAATGATAGAAATTAGTCTATATAAAACACAGAGATGAAAAAATAATTTAAGTAGTGAAAGACACATCAGTGAGCAGCAGGACAACTACAGGTAGCCTTATATATATGATAGGGAAATCCCAAAGAGGAGGGGAGCATGTAAAGAAGTATTTCAAAGAAAAGAAGTTGTTGTCAAGAAGCCCAACAAGCCTAAGCATGAAAAACACAAAGAAAACTATGCCAAAGTATGTTAAAATCAAATTGTCCAATAGCAACGGTAAAGAGAAAAACTTTAAAATCAACCAGAGAAAGAAAACACATTATATACAGAGTTAACAAGGGCAAGGATGGCAGCAGAGTTTTATTGGAAATATCTCAGAGAGAAGATAGTTAATTAATATCTTTTGAGTACTGAAAGAGAAAACTATGCGGAGAAGCATATTATTAATATTACTTTAATATTATAAATATTATTTTAATTATCTAACCTCTTTCAAAAGATAATTAACTCTTAAACAAATATGATAATGATGTAGTATGGCATTCATGAGAAAGACCTAGAAGAAGTGTTACAATAACACTTGTTGTTATAAAATTGAATAGTTTCTGGGGCAGGAGATGCTTAAGAGATATTCTTTAACTATAATATGCAACTTTTATAGAGCTTTTAACCTGGTTAGTAGAACGTTCATTTACTACTGTCAGCGGAAATAATGGCTAACTTTGTCATAGGAATTCTACTTGTATAATATTTAATTTGTGTATTATATTTAAAACTTGTTTTAGCAAGGCTGGGAGTTTAATCCAAGGGCTTGTGACTGCCAGGCAAATGCTTCATCACTGAGCTCTACCCCATCCCTGACTGAGCTGCTCTTGTTATAATTAACTGACTAGTACTAGAACTCTTTAAAATTAGGAAAAATCACCTAGTTTTCACTTACTTTTAAAAATAAGTGATTATATTGTTAACATTTCATATCTCGATGCAGATTATTATTATTATTATTGTTATTATTATTATTTTGTGAACTGCAACCCCACCCCATATTATAGCATTAGGGGATCCAAAGATACTCTTGGTGGAGTATGAGTAAGACAGACTTTTGGGGGACCATTTTGCTATTTCTATAAGGGATCCCAACACAGCATTATTATTTCAACTTTCCAGATAATCTCTAAGTAATTACTACTCTGAAGTATAAGCATAATATGTGAAGGTTGCTATTCTCTTTCTTACAATGCTTGGGTGAAATCATATATCAGAACACTAGAACAAAATGACATTCTAGAGCCTATTCATCCACATGCTGGCTGGCCCATAACAGTCTGGTCCAAATGGAAATAGTTATCCCTGGGTTTTGCAGGGATAACTACACCCTCCCTATACCAAAATCTTTGGATGCTCAAGTTCCTTATATAAAATGGCATAGTGTTTGCATCTAACAGTGACACGTGTACATCCTGCCCTGTATCATCTGTAGAGTTCCCAAAACAATGTGAATGCTATGTAAGCAGTTGTTATACTATATTATTTAGGGAATAATGGCCAGGAAAAAGAGCCTGTACTTGGTCAATGTTGAAACAACTTTCCCCCTTGGGTTATGGGTGCAGAGCTCCTGGATATGGAGACCAACTGTAAACCAGAAGCATAAAGGGTTTCTAAAAGGTAGAAAGAGTAAATTCCTCTACAGTGGGTATATTTATGATATAACTGTTACCATTAATTAATTGAGTATCTTTTATTACTGGGGTAAAGCATAAACAAACAGATCTTTGAAACTCATTTAAATGAATTTGTGAAATCACCAGACTTTGGGATGGGAACCTCACTTTGGTGGTGAGATGAAGTGAGAGACTGGGGTATGTTTCTGTCAGGGGTAGAGGCTTTTTATCGTGGACTGTTTTAGAGGACAACTGCATGCATCCTAATTGTTTTTGAGAGATTCACCATTCTAAATGTGGACCAGTTTACAAATGGGTTAGTTTCTTCAGGTGACTAAAAATCCTTGATCATTATAAAGCACCTTTTCAGGAATTAGACTACTGACATCTAGATACTGGATTTCTAAATTCTAAATATTCCCTTAGGGTTGTAAAAATTAAAATTGACACAGGATGAAAAATCACCTAGCCCAGGATAGCCATGATAGAGTATTAAACAAAGAGACAAATACAGATGTGCATTGTTTAGCACTCCCACAGCTCACACAAACGTGTATCACAAGAAACACTTGACTTTGGGAAAGGCAGCACGGACCTGGAAAGAGTAACAGAAGCGGTACCAGCACACAACACGTCAATCCTACTCGGTCCCTGACACTAGCTAGACCAAGCCTGGGAGAACCTGGCAAGTCTCTTTATTTCCAGCAGAAC